TGTGATTTCTATGTGAATACCTCAATATTTTCACTGCTAAATGTAATGCAATTGTAATTGCTTTCAGTTGGCTAATAGGCCACTGCAGGGGGAAATACCAGTGGTGTCCGTATATGGAATTCTTTCCGTCTGGAGTTTATCTCCCTTGAAAAAAGAAAGCCTCCTTTAACTTTAAAAAACTGCCAGCCCTGTTAGACACTCACCCTTTGTGGTATCCTACAAACAGTATGTCCTTTACTTGGTTTACCCTTTGCTTTCACTTTGCTTTCTTTTAAATCTCCGTTGACCGACCACCCACCCACAGGTCAAGTGCCCTTCTGCCTAACACCCCTGTTCCGATCATCAGATCCAAGATATGGAAGGAGGTAATAATGATTGGTTTTATAGTCCAGACCATCGCAAGAACAGCCACAAACAGTTAAAGACCAGTTGGAAGACTAGACACAAGATTAATCACCAAACACAAGACAGGTCAGAAGATGAGTCATAAGATCAGACACAAGACCAAACACAAGACCAATCACCACACACAAGACATCACAAACAGTCGCAAGCTGAGTCATATATCAGACACAAGACCAAACACAAGACCAGTCACAAACAGTCACAAGATTAGTCATAAGACCAGACACAAGACTAAAGACAAGACTGGTTACAAGACTGGTCACAGTTAACATGGTGAACAATGACAGACGAATGCTTTTTCATTCAGTTCATTTAAGTAGCATGTGAGTTGAATTCAGATTAGAGGGCTTGTGTGGATCTTGTTGGCTCTTGTGATGGTCTTAAGAGGTCTGGACCACAGCCCTGATCACGTTGTCTTCAAGACGTCTGGGTGGTTTAACTTAAGGGCAAGTCAGTGTTCTTGCAGAGCATAACTCATCCCCCTTTACTCGGATGATTGACTCAACTCACTCTCAGTCCACAGTTGACAAAGTATCACCAGCACGTACATGTACTTATCTCTGAAATTTAGAAGCTGTGTTATTTCTGCTGTTCTGTACCTTAGCGTAGCGTATGTAGTATTGAATCTGAACCTGTGTCTGGGAATACTAAAAGCAATAAGGTGTATGTTGTA